ATGTAACAGGGTATTTACGATGTCGTAATGTCACAAGGTCAGAAAATATAAGGCAAAGGACCTATTCTCCTTCAACAGAAGAAGGGGAAATATTCATTCATATAAATCTCTGTGTGTAGGGGACTGCTTGCTGACATTTCCTCAGGTGACAATAAATCTTTGTGTGCAGATTACTATGCTGCTTGTTTCTTTTTATATACGTACTTGCAGTGCTCGAGTATATACTAGAGGCCCAATGCACGGATTTGTGCACATTAAAAGGAAATTAATTAGAAGATGGCCAGTGGTGCAGGACTGGGCAAGAGGGGTCGTACATGCCCTGGAGCCAATCTCCTGCAGTCCCTCCCTGGCCAGCCGCAACCTGAGGCAATGCTGGGGCTCGAAGGGCATCTGCGGAGTGAGGGAGTGAGTGGGGTCGCTCCAGCAGGTGGGGTCCCTTGGCCTGGCCTGTAGGGATCCAGCTGAAACCGGCAGTCCGACATCCCCCAAGGGGTCCTGGAGTGCGAGAGGGCACTCTGCAAAGTTGCTGTCGCTTGGCAGATCCTGCATTGAGCATCTGCCCCCTGGTGGTCAGTGTGTGTCATACCTACCAGCTAGTCGGCTGGTTGGTTGGTTGGTCTGTTGCTTAGCCTTTTATATATATAGATATATTTTTATTGATTTCAGAGAGGGAAGGAGAGGGAGAAGGAGAGAGAGATAGAAACATCAATGATGAGAGAATCATTGATTGACTGCCTCCTGCACATCCGGATCAAGCCCACAACCCAGGCATGTGCCCTGACTGGGAATTGAACCATGACCTCCTGGTTCACAGGTTGATGCCCAACCACTGAGCCATGCCAGCCAGGCAATCTGCTTGTTTCTTGGGCTTCATGTGCAGCTTGCACTGCTGGAGAATAGCTTGCTGGAGCCATGAAGCTACCATGCCAACCTGCTCAGCTCTCTCCATTGCTTTGAAACAATGCAGGACTTTTTAGAGACACATTTTGACATGTTTTGGAAAAGGTACTTTGGTCAGTGAGTATACAAGGCAGCTTTTTAAAAATTATTATTCATTCAAATATTTATTGAGCAGCGAAGGAGATACAAAGGTGATTAAAACATGGTCCAAGAAATGAGGCAAACACACAGGGAAGTAGAAAACAAAGTTCGGTTCCCTGAGTCACAGCGTCAGAAGAAAGTGCTGTAAGCTTTTTAAAAAAGTTAATACAAGTTAAAATTTATTACTAGTAATAACAGCAATAATTAGTGAATACTGACTTTTTAATCCTGCCAGTGTCTTTAGGACCCATGAATGAAAAAGAGGTTCTATGGAAAGTAGCTTCACAGGATGATATGATCATAAATTCCTAACTGGGCACGTCAGGGTGGGTAGTCACGCCCCAGGCCTATAACTTTTTAGTGGAAGGCTTATATTTGTCTTAAGTAAGCCCTGTCCATTGTTTCTGTGCATCTAGGTTAACAAACCTCTGAAATGCCTCTTTTTCAGACCCTTCCTCTAAAGCAGCAGTTCTCAACCTGTGGGTCACAACCCCTTTGGGGGTCGAATGACCCTTTCACAGGGGTCACCTAAGACCATCAGAAAACACATATATAATTGCATATTGTTTTTGTGATTAATCACTATGCTTTAATTATGTTCAATTTGTAACAATGAAATTGGGGGTCACCACAACATGAGGAACTGTATTAAAGGGTCGCGGCATTAGGAAGGTTGAGAACTACTGCCCTAAAGTATGATCACCCAGAAGAGAACACAGAATCTTAATCCTATCTCTGCCTTGCTCTCTCCCACCTTCACATAATCATTTTTATGTTCCCTCCCTCATTCCAAATGCTTAAAGAAGCTATAAACTGTCGCATTTATCCACTGAGATAAACACCTCTTCCACTGTAAGGCAATCCCAGCACTCAGCACGGGTCCATGGAGCCACGTCACCAGGGCAGGGGTTAGCTCTCAACCCTTCCCCTGCCTCAACTCACTGGAGGGCTAGATGGTTCTGATTGTTCTCCATCGCCTTTTAAATAAAGTTTAATAGTTCTCCATCGACTTTTAAACAAAGTCTCTCAATCTTTATTTAAAATGGAAAAATCATTAAATTTATTATTTTTGGTTTAAGTATAGTTTCTGTACAATATTAGTTATATTAGTTTCAGGTGTACAATATAGTGATTGAACTTTTGTATACCTTACCATGCGATCAGCCCACTAATTCCAGTAATCACCTTTTATTGTATAAACCTATCACAGTAGGGCAACCATCCCTGTGGTCCCTGTTTCTATGAGTCTGTTTTTGTTTTGTTTGTTTGATTACATAGCAGTAAAAATAAAATAAAAATTAAATCTTGCCATTTGGAACAATATAGATGGACCCAGCGGGTATTATGCTGAGAGACATAAGTCAGACAAAGAAAAATACTGTGTGATTTCACTTATGTATGGAATCTAAAAACCAAAGACTCGGCACCCATCACACTGACATCTACTGCATTTTTAGTGGTGATTATAGCTGCCAGATTAACAAGGTGTATCTGCATTCCATTCCCTTTATTTCTTGTGGTATAGCAGTGATAACCATCAGCCCACTCTGCTGACGTGTCTTGTATTTAATAAGACTAACAAAATGAGAAACCCAGGAGTTCCTCCTCCCCATTCCATTTATCTTTAGTTTAGTTAACATTTAACCAGGTTACCATTATGATCGGAAAGAAAGACTTCCTGACAAAACTCCTTTGATGACCTTTTCTTCCTTTATTGTTTTAAACTCATAGCCTGATCTCTCTTAATTTCTAGAAAATTAACATTTTCTAGAATGGCATCATTTGACTGTTATCATGTGCCTAATTTCTTCTTCTCCCGGTGGACTCCAGGGTGGCCTTTACTGCATGTTTTATATCTTCTCTTACCATGCAACTATGGAGTGATTTGAGAAGTGAAACTCATAAATGAAGTTGACCTATAATACCAGGGCATTGGGTTGTGAGTCAGTACACATACACACACACACACACAAGAATTGTGTGCACCGGCTCAGGGATGACCAAATCTGAAAAGTACAACACACCGTGCACCCTGGCTTCTGCCAACTGTGAGAAAACACATCAATGGAGACACTTTAAAATCAAAGCTGCCATCCCAGAGGAACAGCCTTGCACGTCTTACTCCTCAAACCTTTGGAATGTTGGAACATGGGCGAAGCCACCTTCAGAATGGGCCTAAGCAGCACTGTATCCCAAACAACTATTTGTCGTAACTAGAACTGAAAATTAAAGACATTCTTTAGAATGAGCGTCACTATGTCGCCTTTCTGCACCTTCTATTTCTTCCTCCTATTCACATAATTGTTCCCTTCCCTTTTCTCATAACTATCCCTTGCATTCACTTCCTCTTGGGGACACTATTTGGGCTTCTACCTGAATCAGTGCTTCCTGCAAAGCTATTCTTTTGGATCACAAATAAATGCTTATTGCCTTTCCCTTTAGTTTTGTAGTTTTAGGATAACACGAAGACAGCAGATTTTGAATCTGAAGGCCCTGTCAGGCTTAGGCCAGGGAAGCCCTCTTCACAGTGAAACATCTTGAGTTATAGGGCCTCTGGGGCCTCAATGGGGTTGGCCTCCTTGCTGACCTCATGTAGAGCCTGGAGTTTGAAAGGGAGCAAAGATGAGATAGGGAGTCAAGACTCAAAAATTCGTTATCCCACTGAGACAGTGAATGTTCTGAGTAAACATTGCTGACACCACTGCTGCATTCTGAGCGGGTCTGCCAGGAGTGAGGCTCCGGAGGGGATCGGCTTGAGCCTGGGTGCCTCAGTGCCAGGCTCAGCCCTGCCTCTGGTTGCTGTCTGTGCCTGCTTTGGCCTCACTGCCTCTGAGTCTCAGGCTCTTATCTGTACAATGTTGAAAACATTAAAATAAAAGGGAAACCTATAAAATGGGAGAAAGTATCTGCAAACCATGTATTGAATTACAGGTTGTCTTGAAGGCCAGGTAAGATAACCTATATGAGGTGTCCAGCCATAAGAGTTATTGGGGTGTTATTTGAGAATCTGGAGGTAAGAACATTTGGGGGAGAAGCCCAGGACAGAAGCCCAGGATAGCATCCACGGCCTATCTCAGCAAGGTCATGACGGAAGGCAAGGGATGGCAATAGTTGTTAAGTTAAATTCCCCTCATTCTCTAATCAAACTTTCCCTAACATGAACCACAGAGTCAGGGAACTTTGTCCTGCTTTAATTTTTTACTTAATTATCACTGAGATTTTACCAGCTTTAAGACTCACCTTTAGTCTTCCCATGTCTTTCCACTAGCAATAAACCCTTAAAGCAGAAGCCCATAGGTATTTTGCATAGATCAATCAGCAAGGTGTGTGCGATAGGGCTGAGCCCCCGCTTTAAAATCAGATAGAAAGAGAAGATCCAGGTACCACGAGGCAACAGGTCCATGATGGAGAGAAAACGGATCCTGGCCGGAGAATTAGAAGTGTGGAAAGCAGCTCTCCTGAATTCACAGTAACTGTGGACCATCTGTCAGGAGGCAAACTCACCCCATCATCTGGGGTTTAACTGTTAAATAACCCTCTTTCAGAGCCCTCTGGCGGATGCCTCACACCAGGAGTGGAAGCCATCAGGCATGTAGCAACTGAAAGCCGGGGATATGGAGGCACTGAGATTTTTGAGAACTTCGAGGTTGGAGGCTGTTGCCGTCTCACGGGCTTTTAGTGTCTATGATGACCTCATGTAGGAAGGACCCAGTGCCTTCTGGCTCCTGCTCACCTCCTGAACCTCCTCTCACTTAACTCCAACCACAGAGGCCTTGTTTGGGGTCGATTGAAAAGGCCAGCGAACTCTTTTCTTCTGCCCAGGTGCATTGGAGGCGCGCAGGTGAGTTGTCACCTGAGGCCGCCAGCGCGGCGCTGGGCGGGGCGAGGGGCGGGGAGGAGGGAGGGAGGGGAGGAGGGGGAACTGGGGGAGCGGCAGGGGAGCCGGCGGGGAGGAGTCTGCAAACTTTCAGTTCGAGGGCATTGTGGGAAGCAGCCCTGGTCCGAGGCAGATGCCTCACCTGTCAGCCGCGCCGGCTCCTGCACTTGGCTCTCGCCACTCGGCACCCGTCAGGCTGGGGCGGAGGCGGCCCGGTCACCATGGTGAGTGCCCGAGATCGGGGCGGCGCTGGCCCGGGAGTGAGCGCTCTGGCTCTCGAGAGGCACCTGCGGAGCCCGGCCCGGCGCTCCGTGGGGAGCTGCCGGGTCCCGCCGGGGTCCCCCGGCCCGTCCCCGTCCGTGCCTGTGGCCCAGCCGCCGGGACGGGGCGGGCGCGCCGGGGCACCCGGGACCCCAGCCGGGACTCTCGCGGCCACCTGGCGCCGCTGCTTCATTCATTCTGCCAATGTTAGCTGAGCACTTAGGCTGTGCCAGGCGGGGTGCCAGGCGCTGGGGATATCGCGGAGGATCGGTGGGGACCTAGCTCTCCGGGGCTCAAGTTCTAAGCGGGAGGTGTGGCTGGAGGGAGGCGTGTAATCCACCAGTAACAAGGAGAGTAAGCGCGCTGTCTTCGCAAACACCAGGAGGTGGAGGGTGGAGAGGCCAGTCTGCGGGGTGGGCGTGCGGGAAAGGCCGCTGTGAGGAGGTGGTGACGTCTGAGGTCTTGGAGGAGCCCTGCGGCGGTGGGAGCAGGCGGAGGAAAGGCCACAGAGAAGAAACCCTGGCCACATGAGGCCGGGCCTTAGAAGCCGAGTTTGGTTTTTACTCCATCTGAGTGGGGGATCCTTGGGAGCATGTTAGCAGGAAAACGGACCTTATCTCTTCTATATATTTGTTTTATATTCTTTTATTTATTGATTAAGGTATTACACATGTGTCCTTATCCCCCCTTGCCGCCCCCCACCCCCACCCCCGCTCATGCCCTCACCCCCCTGGTGTCTGTGTCCATTGGTTGGGCTTATATGCAAGCATACAAGTCCTTTGGTTGATCTCTCCGCCTTACCCCCACCCTCCCCTACCTTCCCTCTGAGGGGGTTTGACGGTCTAATGGATGCTTCTCTGTCTCTGGATCTGTTTTTGTCCATTAGTTTATGTTGTTCATTATATTCATATTTCTAAACGATCTTTTTGGCGGCTGTTGGAGGTTAGACGTGTGTATGTGTGTATGTATGCGTGTCTATGTATGTGCATGTATGTGTGCACGTGTATACGTGTCTCTCTGTGTGTGCATGTGTGCATGTGCACATGTATGTGTGTGTGCATGTGTATGTATGTATGCGTGTGTGTGTGTGTGTCTGTGTGAGTATCACAGTGGAAACAGGGAGACCAGTTGCAGTGTTGCAGGGGACAGGTCCGTGGATGCACTTGGGTGGAAGCGACAGCTTCAGGCACCTCTTGCTCTTGCCTTCCATCCAGGTAGCATTTTGAGAGCACAGTGGCCTGAGCTGCACCAGACCCACTTCATCAGGTGACCTCACTCTCCAAATCCCGGGAAAAGTGACCTGCAAGCCCCTGGTGGCCCGGACAGGAGGACCATGTGGGTTCAGACAGTTGATGGACAAGGAGAGAAAGGGAGAGCCGAGCCCCTGGACAGCAAGACCCAGGTGCCAGTTCCTAGGAGGAGGGCTTTGGCTGCACAGACTAGAGGCATGTAGAGGCACCGTTGTTTGTTTGCTGAGGGTTCCTGGTAAATACATGTGATGCAAAAAGGAGGCTGTAAATAATGGAGCAGCTCTCTTGGCTTGCTCAGGTTTCCCAAGGAACAAGGTGACCGTGAGCAGCAGCCCGCCAGCATCATTTGCCTGATGGGGGGTGGAATGTGGCCGTGGAGTTGCTGAGCAGCTGAAGACAGCTTCCATCCCAGGGGCTGCGGCGGGGCCCATGCTCTAGCACAGTGATGGTGAACCTATGACACGGGTGTCAGAGGTGACATGCGAACTCATTTTTTTGGTTGAATTTTCTTTGTTAAATGGCATTTAAATATATAAAATAAATATCAAAAATATAAATCTTTGTTTTATTATGGTTGCAAATATCAAAAAATTTCTTATGTGACATGGCACCAGAGTTAACTTAGGGTTTTTCAAAATGCTGACACGCCGAGCTCAAAAGGTTTGCCATCACTGCTCTAGCACCTGCTGTGGAGATTTAACTTTCTTGCTGGTGAAAATTGTGGTCAGTTGATCAGAAATGTGCAGTTTCCCTGGTTTTCCACCAGATCTTGCCCAACAGGAAATACTAATGTCTTGAGCACTTGTGATAGGCCAAGTGGCATGCACAACCCTTGCATTTATGATCTCTATCCTTGCAACAACCAGATGAGAGTAATTGTTGTGCTCTTTGCCTTTTACCTGGTTTGGCATGTTCTAGCAGCGTGTCCTTGGACAAGCCCTTGACCTCTCCATGCTAGTTTGCTCATGGAGACAATATTTGTTCTAAATTTGTAAGGCAGCGGTCCTTAGGAGTCCCTAAGACTTTTCAGAGGGCCATAAGGCCAAACTGTTTTCATGATAACACATGATATTATCTGCCCTCTTCATGTTCATTCCCATGTGACTGCACGTGGAGTTCTATTGAAGCAAATACAACAGAATGACCTTGGGTAGTGCATCTGTTGAATGCAGAAGCAGTTAGGAGAGTCCAAATGCCTCCTATTGAGCCAGAAATTATGGAGACTTGCTAAAAGGTAACAGTGCCACCCTTCTCAATATATATATATATATATATATATATATATATATATATATATATATATATATATATTTTGCTTTGGAAAATATTGTTACTCTTCATAAAAAGTTATCTCTGTTAGTGTGTAATAGCCTTTTTTTTTTTTTAAAAAATGAGCCCAGCCGGGCTGTGGTGGCTCAGTGGTTGAGTATTGACCTATGAACCAGGAGGTCACAGTTTGATTTCTGGTCAAAGCATATGCCAGAATTGTAGGCTCGATCCACGATTGTGCAGGAGGCAGTTGATCAATGATTCTCTCTCATCTTTGATGTTTCTATCTCTCCCTCTCCCTTCCTCTCTGAAATCAATAAAAATATATATAAAAAATAAATGAACCAGTTAATTTCTAAACTTTTTCTCTATTTAAATGTATAATATATGGCTACAACCTACATAAACAACAATTTGGGCCCTAGCCGTGGCTCAGTGGATAGAGTGCTGGCCTGCGGACCAAAGGGTCCCGGGTTCGATTCCAGTCAAGGGCATATACCTTGGTTGTAGGCTCCTCCCCTGCCTAAGCCCTGGTCAGGGCTTGTGCAGGAGGTAACCAATTGATGTGTTTCTCTCACATTGATGTTCCTCTCTGTCTTTTCCTCTCTCTTCCACTCTCCCTAAAAATCAATGGAAAAATATCCTCGGCTGAGGATTAACAAAACAAAACAACACAAACAAAAAGCACAACAATTTGGGGGCTGTCTATTTTTAAGAGTGTAAAGGCATCAGAGAGAGGTTGTGTGAGTTAATGCAGATGAAAATGCATAGAGCAGCTTGGCCTACTATAAGTGCTCAGTGACTATGATGTCTCATCTGTTTTTTCTGTCAAATGGTAGGGAATAATCACTGGTCCTCCCTGTTGCCCTGCAGCACTAGGCTTTTTTTGTGAGGGCCATTTTTTAACCCCTGTCTGTTCCTGACTCTTGCCAACTCTTACTCTAGGAAAACTGGCCAGTGCTTAGAGCATCCCACCTGGCATGTGCACACCGGAAAAGGTTCTGGATTCCACTCTGCGGGTGACCCAAGTTTCCAGCCCAGAGATTTCAGACCTCACACATCTTGGAGCTGTGTTTGTATTTGAATCATACTGTATGAATCAGCTTTGTACTTCTGCACCCTGCCTTTGTTTTAGAAATCTCTGCCTTGGAAAACAATGCTAGGGTTATTGTGTTTCAGGGGCCGGGAGCCCAGTGCACGTGCACATCTTACTGGGAAGAATTTGCTACTGAATGGTTAAAATGTTGATGGAAGGATTTTATTTTTAAATATATTTTTATTGATTTCAGAGAGGAAGGGAGTGGGAGAGAGAGATAGAAACATCAATGATGAGAGAGAATCATTGATCAGCTGCCTCCTGCACATCCCACACTGGGAATTGAGCCTGCAACCTGGGCATGTGCCCTGACCGGGAATCAAACCATGAGCTCTTGCTTCATAGGTTGATGCTCAACCACGGAGCCACACCGGCGGGGTGACGGAAGGATTTTTTAGTTTGTTTCTTTATTTTTCTCCCCTGTAAGAAGAGAGCAGTGAAAATTTATAGGGTGAATTTTAAAAGGCTTTGGGGACACCGTAAATAAAAATGCAAGCAGACTTTGCTTTATGCAGGCCACATGCTTCTGAAGAGTTGAAGTGACTTTTAAAACCATGTTGTGAACAAAACGGGAATTACCCATTGAAAGAAACTCCAATGGAAAGCCCTTTTGAAATGAGTAATCATCTTCTTGTGTTGCAGATTCAGTTCTCATAATGTATGTTATTTATCTAAACTGAGATAGACGGTTGTTGAAATGTCGAAGATTTCTTGCTGTGATTTTAAGTCTTTTTTAGAGAGACCTTCCCAAGCTGAACTGTGAAGCCATTTCTTTTCCAGAATTCATGTTAGTTTAAAGCAACATGTGTGCACCCTTCTTCTAAATCAGATAATTCCGTTTCCCGTGTTCATTGCTGTCTCTTTATGTTACATAGACATAGGAAAGGTGAAAAGGAATTGGGGAGGGTGAGGGAGGAGAGCCGCAACTATGAACCTGTAAATCCTGCCATGTGCCCCCTCCCCACCCAGTATATTAATTGTATTGTCTGTGGCATAAGTGAATTGTAATCAGGATTTTGTTATTTGGGCAGTTTAAATTCCAGTCTGAGGGTGAAGCAGTCTATTGCTGTAATGAGCTCTTTCCTCCCCTTGAGGCCCAGTCTGGGCTGCTGGCCAGCGGTTGGTGTGGGGGACAGGGGATTTGGAATAGGGAGGGAAATGACCCTTTGTGGTGTTCAGTTGTCCCAAGAGGGTTCACCCACTTCCCTTCCCACAGATCTCCCAACAACACGAGGGAAACTTGTATTTGCCTCTCGCCAGGACTGTTACTTCTGAGTTCCTATTACTCGTTTTTATGACAAATACTGACAAGAGCTTATGATTTTTATGTGGCATTTTACTAGCAACA